ACGTACAGGCTTTTATGACTTAATAAGTCTCTTGATTTCCTCAGTGTCTGTTGTAATGTCCCTTTTTTCATTATTGATTTTGTTTGTTTGGATATTCTCTCTGCCTTTTGGTTAGTTTGGATAAGGATTTGTCTCTCTAGTTGATTTTCTTAAAGAACCAACCCTTTGCTTCTTTGATTCATTGTTTTGTTCTCTTGCTTACTATTTTATTGATTTCAGCCTGGAGTTTGATTATTTCCTGCAATCCTGCTCCTATTAGGTGAGCTTGTTTCTTTTTGTTCTAGAGCTTTCAGGTGTGCTTTTAAGTTACTACTGTGGGATTTCTTCAAATTCTTCGTGTAGGTACTTAGTGCTATGAACTTTCCTCTTAGCACTGTTTTTACACTGTCCCATAAGTTTGAGTATTTTGTACATTCATTTTCACTGAATTCTAGGAAATCTTTAATTTCTTTCTTATTTCTTCCTTGACCTAGTAGTGGGTGATTCAGTTAAGCATTGTTCATTTCCGTGAGTTCGTAGACTTTCTGTAATTGGTGTTGTTGATTTCTAATATCAATCCATGATGATCTGATAACATAACAGGGTGTTATTTCATTTTTTTGTATCTGTTGGGATTTGCTTTGTGACCCAGTACGTGGTCAATTTTAGAGAAAGTTCCACGAGTTGCTGAGAAGAAGGTATTATCTTTTGTGTTTGCGTGAAATGTTCTGTAGATAACTGTTAAGCCCATTTGAGTGATAACATCAGTTATTTTCCTTAATCTTCTGTTGTCTGGCAGTCCTGTTCACTGGTGAGAGTGGGGTGCTGAAGTCTGCCCCATCAATGTTTATGGTTTGATGTGTAACTTAAATGTCAATAATATTCTTTTAAAATGTGGATGCATTTATATTTGGGGTATAAATGTTCAGAATAGAGACTTCATCTTGATAGATTTTCTTCCTGTGATGAATATGAAATGTCCTCCACCTTTTTTGACTAATTTTACTTTGAAGTTTGTTTTGTTAGATATTAGAATAGCTACACCAACTTGCTTCGTAGGTCAATTTGATTAAAATATCTTTTCCCCAGGGGCTTGAAGAAAGTTCCTGTTTGCTAAAAAAGGGGGACTATCTATCAGGAGAACTTGTGGCCCTCTCTTTAACATATGACTGGTGCCTATTGTCAAGGTCAATGCTTTCTCAACCCCAGCTCATGTTGTCTCCATGGGTGTCTTGCAAAGATGGGGAACAGACCACCAAGGCCTATTAAAACAGAAGCAGACTTTATTCTGGGAAAGAATTTTAAATTTTTCCATAATTTTATTCTGGGAAAAAAATTGAAAAAAAACTAAATCTCCATGGGGCCAAAAGCTTATCATCTAGCAGAGACAATAGCCAAAGTTGACTTGTAAGGCTATGGCAAAGGACGGTTTCTGAACTCCCCCCATTTTTATAGAATTTTATTGAGCTCTACATTTTCCTCTGCTCCCCTCTCTGCCTCTCCCCTCCCCTTCAACCCTCCCCCAAGGTCCCCATGCTCCCAATTTACTCAGGAGATCTTGTCTTTTTCGACTTCCCATGTAGATTAGATCTATGTGTGTCTCTCTTAGGGTCCTCATTGTTGTCTAAGTTCTCTGGGATTTGATTTGTGAGCTGGTTTCCTTTGCTTTATGTTTAAAAAGCATTTATGAGTGAGTACATGTGATAATTGTATTTCTGGGCCTGGGTCTGTGTTACCTCACTCAAAATGATGTTTTCTAGCTCCATCCATTTTCCTGCAAAATTCAAGATGTTATTTTTTCTGCTGTGTAGTACTCCATTGTGTAAATGTACCACATTTTCCTTATCCATTCTTCTGTTGAGGGGCATTTAGGTTGTTTCTAGGTTCTGGCTATGACAAACAATGCTGCTGTGAACATAGTTGAGCACATACCCTTGTGGCACAATTGAGCGTTCTTTGATATATACCCAAAAGTAGTATTACTGGGTCTTGAGGAAGGTTGTTTCCTAATTTTCTGAGAAATCACCACACTGACATCTAAAGGGACTTTACCAGCCTGCATTCCAACCAGCAATGCAGGAAATACCCCTATTTATAGCAAGAAGCAACAACCATTAGGAATAACAAAGGAATTTTTACAATCTCGAGACAAAACTCAGATACAAATTAGCTTTTGGTTTTTATTTGTTTGTTTGTGTTTTACAATTTCTATTAACAGAGTTTTTCAGTTAAACTAGTGTTTGTGTTTAGTCTATTGTTTTTCCCTTGTGCTCCATGATGGTGTTTACCAAAGTGCCAGTTTCATGTAGCAGGCAAGAGTATGGGAAAATTCACAACCAAAGAGTCAGGTATGCCCCATCATTTAAAGGTTAACTTGTTCATATCAATTGCTGGTCATGAGTGGCCAAGGGGGTTATCAAAAAGCTGACCTTCAGTTTTCAGAAGCCTCTTCAGCCTTGCAGACAGAGCTATTGGTTGTAAAGCAAAGTAACCCCACTGTTAATCTGTAAGCTGCTCAGAAAGCTGCTGACAGTTTGCTCTCATTCTCTCAGGCTTACAACTTTGTGTTTCTTTAATTCTACATTCTTATTTCTGGAATCTACATTTCTATATTCTTATTCTTGGACTCTTCACTCACATGCCTCCTTTCTCCCATTTAATCCTGTGTGCAATTAGAGTTTAAAAGGTGTATTCTTTTTCAGTAAGCACACTGGCAGCTATTCAAACTCCCCCTCAGAGCTTGTCTGTCTTCCTCCACGTCCTACCTAACACTGACTCCATACTTCCTCTTTGGAACCTAAACTCCTACTGAAGTAGCTCTCCAGCATATGATATCATGAGTTGTAAGTGACATCCCCTGGTCAGAGATGCTGATATGCGAATAAAGTAACACTGGCCTGCAACCCTACTTACAGTGAGGATGAAATGGGGAATTACAAGATTCAAGGCTAGCTTGGGCAATATAATTAAAAAAAATGTAAGCTGATTTGAATGAAAATTTGCATGTGTGCAGTAGGTAGAATTCTACTCTCCCTCTTCATTGAAATGCTGTCTTTGATAGCAGTAGGAAGAGTAATCATCATCATTATCCAGAACCACTCAGCTGCCAGGGGCTAGGAACACTTGCACATGCTTTGTGCAGACTGAAGCCTCACAGTAGCACTGTGTAGACAGCTGCTGTTTAATCCTCCTTCCAGGGATGAGAAAGTCTAGTTATGGAGTTCATAGAAAGCCCAAGAATTATCTGCTAGAGTAGGATGTGAATATGGTCCATATACACAGGCAACAAATAGGGCTTCCTAGTTATCCGTTTGACTCTTGACACATCCAACTGAGATGTGTCCTTGACACCGTCATCCTAGAGTTACCCAGAATCTTTGGTGTTTGTGCAATCCATGACAATTAATTTTCTTCCACATTTTAGATGGAGCTTTCAAAGTGGATATATAAGCAGTTCTGTTCTTTTTGCATTTCAAAACTTGTGCTGAATTCTGTTAATGATTAGGAAGTTGTACTTACAGAGTCATATGTCACAGACATTGGAATACATTCTTAAGGCTGAAAAGTTCTTTCCAGTATCCATCTACATATAATGTGTTTAGTCATTACTTCCAAAGTAATAGCGCTCTGTATGAAATGAGAGTCTAGTGTTTGTCACTCTCATTGCTGTCTAACTAACTCTCCATACCTATTCAAACCCTTAATTTATTTAAAAACTTTGTGTGTATTATTCTGTACCCAAGAATGTGTACAGTAGAGGGCATCATATCTTGTTGAGTTACAGAAGTTAATGAGTTGTCCCACTTGGGTGCTGTGCGCCAATCTTAAAATGAAGCGGAGTCCTGTACAAGAGCAGCAAGCTGTCTTCCCTACTGAGCCATCACTCCAGCATCATATCAAAACTTTCTGTGGAGTCCACATGATCTTGATCTTCACAGGGAGTTGACAACCTCAATCATTTGCTTGCCTTATCTGGCAGAAAACTTGAGATGGTACTGTTCTTAGTTACCACATCAAGAGATAGAAAGACACCAGAGTTTCTTTCTCTCATACAAGAAATTTATGAGAAGGCTCTGTATATTTTATTCAGTATCTTTGCTGATGTGATGGTAGACCTTTGCAGATAGATGCCTACTTCCCATTGCACCCACAAGTGGTCTGTTTCACACAGTAGTGAATTCTTTGAATCCAAGTATAGTCTTTGGATTTAAGAGTCAAACCATATGATGACTCTTCATCATCTGTGTTTAAAGAAGGTTTTATCTTTTATGTCAACTAGAAAAAATGTAGAAGTGAAGGGCCATTCCTCTTCATGATGTTCGAATTACTTTTCAGTCCCCATTGATTACTTCTGAAGTCAAGGACAATCATGTTACCTAATTAAATGGGGCTATGTATCAATATAAATTTGTTACACATTGTGAAATTTCCAATATACTGCAAATTTAATGATCCCAAAGCATATAACAACTAATACCCAAGGTGAAGATTCATAATTTTCTGATACTTGCAACATTTCAAGGCTACATCTTGCAAAAATCACGTTAGGGTTTAGTTGATATTCTAAATGAGTTCAGCATTAAAAACAATTCCCTTTGTTGTTTTGTTCATTCATTTATGTTGCTATCCTAAGTCAGTTAGCAGTTGTGTAAAATAAACACAAAGACCTAAATAAAAATATGCATCTTGCTGTTTGTGTGTGCATATATATGTGTATGTTATAGTGAAGAGCTAAAGATTCAAATTTTTGTAATTTCTTCTACATGAAGAAATATGATAAGGACAGCAGTTATCAGTCATAATCATCTGCTGAAGAATGGATTCAAAGTTGTTTGTGCCAGGTGTTTGCACATGACTTTAGTCCCAGAACTCAGGAAGAAAAGACTTACATGGTCAACATACATGGTTTCAGGACAGTTGGGCTGTATCAGATAGGGATTCAAAATAGAGGATTTAGAAGACTTAACAAATGTTTTCCATATGAATAGTAAGTCAGCGATAACTTTTAACTTTTGTCACAGCAAAGGAACATCTTTCAAAGAACCAGAACAGAGAAGTAAGAAGCATATCAGGTTTAATGAAGGTAAGATTTGTATAGTGAACTACTCTATTTGTTTCTTTCTACCCTAAATAAAATAAATAAGGATAAAAATTTTAGCACTTCTAAAGAGTCAAGGAAATCAAGTACAAATCCGGCTATTTTGTTTTAAAATTTGTTTTTTAATATTCAGGAAAGTCAGAATTAATAAAATTATTTTAAGCACTTTCAACTATGAAAATACACTGTCAAATATGTTGCATATTTGATTTGACACTGATATATGTGTTGTGTTTTTGTAAACGAGACTATGGGGACCTACATAATCACACTGTAACAAATTGGAATGCTAGAAAAATTGATTTTTCTTTCAATTTTTATAACAAATGCGTTGTCCTTTGTAATGCCAATGATTACAAATTTGGGTGTTACTAGAATATAATTATGTCACAAACAAAACTTAAGAACCAATTCCTTTCATTAATTTCTTACCTAATGAGGTAATGCAAAACGTCTGTGTTTTTAAATTACTTGGCAATTTCTCACTTGAGAGAGTTTTCCCTAGCTCTATAAGGTTATCTTTATTGACTATGTCCTTAACTTTACAGAAGCTTCCCATTTCAGGATGTCCTATTTATCTGTTGTTTCTCTTAGTGCCTGTGCTAATGGTATTATATTTAGGAAGTGGTCTCTAGGGCCCATGCTTTGAAGGCTACTCCCCACTTTCTCTTCTCTCAGGTTCAGTGTGATCAGATTTATACTGGTGCCTTTAATACATTTGGACTTGAGTTTTGTGCATGAGGATAGATATGAATCTATTTGCATTCTTCTGCATGATGGCATCCAGTTATGCCAGCACCATTTTTTGAAGATGTTTTCTTTTTTCTATTGCATGATTTTAGCTTCTTTGTTGAAAATCAGGTGTTCATAGATATATGGATTAATATCCAGGTCTTTGATTTGATTTCATTGGTCTACTTGTCTATATTTATGCCAATACCAAGCTGTTTTCCTTACTGTAGCTCTATAGAAGAGCTTGATGTCAGGCATGGTGATGCCTCCAAAAATTTCTTTGTTGTACAGAATTGTTTTGGCTATCTGGTTTTTTTTCATATGAAATTCAGTATTGTTCTATCAAGGTCTGTGAAGAATTGTGTTGGGATTTTGATGGGGATTGCATGGAGTCTGTAGATTGTTTTTGGTAGGATTGCCATTTTTACTATGCTGATACTTCCTATCGAAGAGCATGGAAGATCCTTCCATTTTCTGATAGTCTCTTCATCTTCTTTCTTCAAAGACTTAAAGTTCTTGTTGAACAGGTCTTTCACTTCTTTGGTTAGTGTTACCCCAGGATATTTTATGTTATTTGTGTCTATTATGAATAGTGATGTGTCTCTGATTTCTTTCTCAGCTTCTTTATCATTTGTATATAGGATGGCTATTGATTTTTTGAGTTGATCTTGTATTTTGCCACATTACTGACGGTATTTATCAGCTGTAGGAGGTCCCTGACAGAGTTTTTGGCGTCACTTATATACTATCATATCATCTGCAAATAGCGAAAGTTTAAGGCAGCCTATGGAATGGGAAAACATCTTCATCAATCCCACATCAGAAAGAGGACTGATATACAAAATATATGAGGAACTCAAGAAATTAGACATCAAAATTCCAAATAATGCAACTAAAAATGGGGTACAGAGCTAAACAGAGAGTTCACAACAAAAGAATTTCAAATGGACAAAAGACATTTAAGGAAATGTTCAGTATCCTCAGCCATCAGGAAAATGCAAATCAAAAGGACTTTGAGATACCATCTTACACCAGTCAGAATGACTAAGTTCAAAGACACCAATGAAAGCTTATACTGGAGAGGATGCAGAGTAAGGAGAACACTCCTCCATTGGTATTGGGAATGCAAACTTGTACCAGCACTTGGAAATCAGTATGGCAGTTTCTCAGAAAACTAGGAATCAATCTACCTCAAGACCCAGCAATACCACTCTTGGGCATATACCCAAAAGATGATCCTTCATACTACAAGGACATTTGTTCAACTTTGTTCATAGTGACATTATTTGTAATAGAAAAATCTGGAATCAATCCAAATGTCCCTCAAACGAAGAATGAATAAAGAAAATGTGGTACATCTACTCAATGGAATACTACTTAGCAGTAAAAACGACGAGATCTTGAAATTTGCATACAAATGATTGGAACTAGAAAAAAAAATCCTAAGTGAGGTAACCCAGACCCAGAAAGATGAGCATGGTATGTACTCACTCATAAGTGGATAATGAGCCTATAGTCCACTACCCCAGAGAACATAAATAACAGGGTGAACCTTAATATATATATCCATCCCCTGGGAAGGGAAATAGACAAAATCTCCTAAGAAAATTGGGAGCATGGGACTGGAGGAAGATGGAAGAGCAGGATGGGAGGAGTAGGGGAGAAGGAAGAGGGAGGAGAAGCTGAGGGAAAGGGATGATCTAGATGGGGGAAGGACAGAGACACAGAGCAAGGAAAGAGATATCTTGATTGAGGGAGCTAGTATGGGGCTAGCAAGAAACCGAGCACCAGAGAAATTCCCAGGTATCCACAAGGATGACCCTAGCTAAGACCCTAAGCAATAGTTGAGAGGATTCCTGAACTGGTCCTGCCCTGTAGTCAGATTGATTACTATCTTAAAAGCCATCATACAACCTTTATCCAGCAACTGATGGAAGCAAAGGGAGAGATCCATAGTGGAATACTGGGATGAGCTCCCAAAGTCTAGTTGAAGAGTGGGAGACGTGAGAATATGAGCTTATGTGGAATCTCCCTCTGTATTCTGTCAATATGTTCTATTACCATTGGCTAATAAAGAAACTTCATTGGTCTATGGAAGGCAGAATAAAGCCAGGCAGGAAATCTGAATAGAGATGTAGAGAAAGAATTGGCAGAGTCAAGAAGATGCCATTTAGCTACCAAATAAGAAAGAGACCATGTTGTTGCCAAAGAAGAGAGATGCTGGAACCTTACAAGCAGGTGGTGACACATAGATTAATAGAAAAAGGGTTAATTTGTAGTTAGCAACCTCTGCCTGAGCAGTCCAGAGCCAGTGAACTCCATGAGAGCAGGCCCTATCATGCAACCTTGTGGGACCAGGTCCATGCCAGCGACCTCTGCAAGAGCAGTCCGAAGCCAGCAACCTCCTCTACAACAGGCCTGAGCCCTTGTCCTCTTATGGAGCAGGTCTGAGTGTGTGACCTCCATGGGAGCAGGCCTGAGTCAGTGATTTGCACCAGAGCAGGCCCAAGCCAGCAATTTCCATGGGAGCCGGCCTGAGACAACCAATTCAGAGCAACCAGGCTTGAGCCATGGAAGCAGGATAGGGCCAGCAACCTCGTTGGAAGACGGCCTAAGTGGGCAAATTCCCTGGCAGCAGACCCAAATGACCTGAGATTGCAGAGCAACCTCTGGGAGTGCCAAGCGACCTCTGGGAAGGTCGAGTGACCTTTGTGGTGACTGGAACTGTGGACCTGACTCCACCAAGAAGAACAACTATTGGAACCTTGGATCCACTGACACCTGGAAGAGTGATCACCAGAGACACAGCCTCAACTACACCAATCAGAGGAAAAAATGGGTAGACAAGATAAGAACATACATAACACCACAAAGAACAATACAACATCAACAAAAACTAGTGACTCTAAAACAGCAAGTCTTGAAAACACAATACAGATGAAGCAGAAGAAAGTGACCAAAAATAATTTTAGGATAATGTCTGAGGCCTTTAAAGAGGATATGAAAGGTGGAGCAAAAGACAAATAATATTTGGAAGAACTCAACAAATCCCTTAAAGAAAATGAAGAAAAAGCAATCAGACATGTGAAAGAAACATTTAAAGACTTGAAAACTGAAATAGATACAATAAAGAAAACACAAACTGAGGGAATTGTGGAAATGGAAATTATGAGAAAACGATCAGGAACCACAAATGCAAGCATTAACAGCAGAATACAGGGATGAAATCTCAAGCGTTGAAGATATGAGAGAGAAAATATTTGTCAGTCAAATAAAATGTTAAATCTTGCAAAAGTTTAACACAAAATGTCAAGGAAATATGGGACACCATGAAAAGACCAAATCTAAGAATAATAGGGATAGAAGAAGGTGAAGTCCAACTAAAAAGCACAGAAAGTACATTCAACAAAATCATAGAAGAAAACTTTCCCAACCTAAGGAAAGACATGCTTAAGAAGATGCAAGAAGCCTACAGAATACCAAGAAGACTGAACAATAAAAAGTCCCCTCCCCACATAATAATCAAAACACTACATACACAGAATAAAGAAAGAATATTAAGAGCTGCCAAGGAAAAAGGTCAAGTAGCATATAAAGGCAGACTGATCAGAATTGCATCTGACATGTCAATGGAAACAAGGAAAGTCAGAAGGTCCTGGACAAGCGCGATGCAGACATTAAGAAACCATGGATGCTAGCCCAGAGTACTATACCCAGGAAAACGTTCAATCACCATATATGGACCAAACAAGATATTCCATGACAGAACCATTTTTAGCCAATACCTAGCCACAAACCTAGCTCTACACAAAGTATGAGAAGGAAAACATCAACCCAAGGAAGCAGCTACATCCACAAAAACACAGGCAATAGAAGATCTCACACCATCAAAGCCCAAAGAAGGGAAGAATATCACCAACAACCAAAACTAAATAACAGGTACTAGCAATCACTGTTCATTAATATCCCTTAATATAAATGGATGCCACTCACCTATAAAAAGACACGGGCTAACAGACTGGATATAAAAACAGAATCCACCCCCTTCTGCAGCATACAATAAACACAGTTCAACCTCAAAGACAAACATCGCCTCAGAGTAAAGTGTTGGGAAAAAGTTTTCCAATTAAATGAACCTAAGAAACAAGCTGGTGTAACTATTCTAATATCTAACAAAATAGACTTCAAACTAAAATCAATCAAAGAAGACAAAGAAGGACATTTCATATTAGTCACAGGAAAAATCCATCAAG